CAAAATGTTTCTCCTTTGTTTTCCACCCATGTTCCCATGTCGCGCTATTATGCGATCGGAATGCTTAAATTGTCGGTTTGTTGGGTTGACTTCGCCCAGAGATCCCAAGTTCTAGCGATCGGTCCAGAAAATGCAGATTATCATGGCGTAGACGTTTCCATTAGACCAACTGTCAGTTGACATGTAATAGGGGATGTCTGAGGTGAAGATTCCTCCATGGGGAAACGCCGGATGATTGAAATATTTAGGAGATCGTGATTGACATCGGAATGTCCCGATACATTCAGCCCTTGCTTAGAACGGCTTTTATTATGAAATTTAAAATCCCACGGCGAGGTTTAAATCTTAAAATGATATCAAATTTTGATGATATGTTCTATTTTAACATTCGTACAATTACAGCCACTGTATATAAATCTATTTAATACATTTCCCCTGGAAATGGAAAATGTTTAGTCCTAAGATGTATGCATAGTCCCATTATATTTCAGACTGAATGGGAGAGATATTGTTCCCCACATCTCCAGAAGTGCAGTAAACTTTCAGCAGTGTTTTTTTCTTGTTGGTTAAGTAGACTTGATTGTCTTGTGTAATTTGAACCGCGTGTAAAATGTGCGGGAACAAGACCCGCAGCTACTGATGGGAAATTTCTACATGCAATTGTCCGGGGCGTTGGTCAGCGGGATATGCAAACTCCCAACTGATCTACAAACTTTCTCACATGAAACGCGCACATGAAATGCAAACAAAGTGGAACAATATTCACGTTGGCACACACACACATTAGCAGTCAAGTTTGATCGCCTTACGACAATAACTCACTCGCAAAAAACACACACAAAAACCAAACAGAAAAAAGAGCATACTACAGAAACGGCAGCAAAAAGCACACAAAACAAAAATAAAATCACGGTCAGGCAGCAGAAGAAAACGAGTTTCTTGGCCGATCGAGCGGGTAAGCTATAGCCCACTATATAGCGATAGTGAGTGACTGGCGCAGTATTCGATTTGCGAAACGGGTTTGCGCACGTTGAAGCTCAAAGGGGCGGAAATCGACCCACAGCTCAACCAATGGGCGTGGCACTCAGCCGATCCGCGGGAAACCCCTTCTAATCCCAGTTTTATTTGAATTAGTCCTGACTTTTTTAAGATTTTTAAGATTTTAAGAGAAGAGTTTTCAGCATTAACGAGTTAAAGGTAAACGAAATCTTCATGAATGTTGTGTTTTGTGCACTTTTTCGATAAAAGTGAGTTTTAGGCCTTAATTATATAAAAAAAGATAATAATTTGGTTGGTAATAATATAATTATGACTATCATAGTTCATTGTTTCCTAAACTAATAATATTTCACTGCAAAAAACCTATTGACACCGCAAACTTTTAGCCATTTCAGTTTATAAGGCCAATATTTATGGTTTCCTATGAATTATTATTAGCAAATCCACACGCGCTTTGTTTACGCATACCATCCGACTATAAAACGAATAATGAAAATATCTCGGAAACAGCTGCACCGAGAAAAGCTCGGATTTCCAGCTAAAACTCCCCCAAAAAAACAGACATACATATATCATATAGGAGACTACAACTTTGCGCAAAACGAATCCGGCGGGCAGAACCACAAAAGTATCGCTGGAGCGCTGAAAGCAAAAGTAAACAAAAAGGCGGAGAAGAGGGCGGGGATCGTGCAAACAAAAAGCCAAAGCCAAAAATAAACATTTTGCATTTGAGAACCAAGAAACGCAAAAGAGTCCAATTACGCGCCAGGCTGCGAATGAGGAATTGCCAAATAGGCGCAAATAAAAGATTGGAGGAGTATGAGTAAGAGTATTGTGGGGATCTTGGAGCTGTTGCGGCGTTAAATTGCAGTTGAGCCAGAAAACTGAGAATGCAGATTAGCCATGACAGCAACCTGGCTAATACGGGCATAGATTGCCCACGTACCACACAGAAAAAAAATCTTAAACTTCAAAATTTAGTTCAAACATTTTATTGTAAATAAAGTATGTTCGCCGGTAAAATATGTTCAAAGTTGTCAAAAAAAAAGTTCACTTTTGAGGTACTTTTGTTTTCTGGCGTGGTGTATTTTAACTGGTGATTGAAAGCGAATAAGATTTTTAAGCTGTTAATTATAATTAATAATTTACTACTCAGTGCACACACACTAACTTTTCAAAACCTTTTTTACTAATAGTTTTCTCTTAACCATTAAAATTTAGTTCAAACATTTTATTGTAAATAAAGTATGTTCGCCGGTAAAATATGTTCAAAGTTGTCAAAAAAAAAGTTCACTTTTGAGGTACTTTTGTTTTCTGGCGTGGTGTATTTTAACTGGTGATTGAAAGCGAATAAGATTTTTAAGCTGTTAATTATAATTAATAATTTACTACTCAGTGCACACACACTAACTTTTCAAAACCTTTTTTACTAATAGTTTTCTCTTAACCATACCTAAAATATGTATGAAAGATTTGTGATGTTCTAACTTAAATATTTGGATAGTTGTGTAGTCCAAACCTAATAAACGAAAGGAAAAAGATAATGTTTGAAGTTGCAATAGTTAAAGGCTAAATAATTCGTATTGGCAACTAGTTCACCAACGTATCGCCGGAAAGCTTATCTACTCTTCTGGCTTTTAACTATTCCGTAATTCTGATAACGTCTTTTTTTCTTTTAATGGGTCAACTTTATGTGCCTTACTAATAACTGATACACTTTATCAAGTTTGTTCTCAATATTAATGTATATTATGTGTGTGATGATTTAATGGCTGAAATAATGTCCCTATTTTGTATAAAAGTTAAACTAAATGTTGAACTCAAATGTTCTAAAAGCATTTAAGGCATAAAAACTACTATTAGTTATTTATGCTCCTTATAAAAAATGTATTACTTTGCCCTTTCAAGAACTTTTTAAGATAGTTTAATTTAAGTGACAAATGTGCTATTTTTTACTCTCTTTTTTTTTGTTCAAACAGCTGCAATTACTGCAATTATTTTCAGCAACAAGACAGTTAAAAACTATTTTAAAATTTTTGGTTTCCGATAATCCATTTTGCCTAACACACTTCAAATCGATAGAAATCCGGTAGTTTGCCAAAAACACCGATTTTTTTGGGTCATTAAACAAAAAGTTGAACTTGTGTACTTCAAAACCCCAAAAAACAAAGTTTTTATACCACTTTTCTTTCTTAAAAAAACATAACACCTTTTTAATTTAAGTTAAACCTATGGAAGATTCGCTAAGAATCGAACCGCAAATATAATTTACTTTTACTTGAACTCCTAATTCAACCAATTTCGCTCTTTCCAGGTGGTTTCTTACTTAATTTCAAAATGCAACGGAGAACAGAAATGAACGACCATGGTTTATAGGGCATTCGGCTGGTCTTGACTCCTGATCTACGTCAATTTCAGAGATACTTTTATCAATATTTGATTTGCCTCAGTCCGTTGTTTGGACTGAGACCCAATGTGCCGTGGCGTAATTAGATTATCTTCCACCTGTGCTCGTGGGCCAGTTTCTCTTTCTTTTTCAAGCAGCATGGGCGTTTGTGGATCGCCGTCCTACATTTGATTTCACCCCGCACTTGTTTTCGATTATTTATTTACCTTATTTATTCAGCTTTTCGTATTGGTTTAGTGCACTTTCTGGGAAGTGGTAATATTCTTTCGTGTCTTTCTTTGCCTTTCTTATCAAGGGATGTCAATGCAATTGCATTGTGTCATTGTTTGTGGGGCAATGTAATTTTGGTTTATCTCCTTTCGGTGCTTTTTGGGGCAACAGAGTCCCAGATAAGGTAATTGGAATGTGGAACGAGCCCATTGATAACAATGCAGGTAACTCTGTTTACCCCGCCAAATCTTACTCATTGAAACTCCGAAACGAAAAAGCAATCCTAAATAAAGCAAACTCATGAGTCATGCGAAAACAAGAGAAGTACAAAGTTCGGCTGCACAAATTTGCAGTCGCATGCAGTGAGGTGAGGTGTGCGAAAGAGGCGAAAATGGAGCTGGGCGAGAATGAGAAACAGAGAAACGGGCTTATGGAGCTACGGTGAACTCTTGGAAGTGAACTAACTCCATTCAGAGATTTACCAAAATTGGGTCTTTATTTATTTATTGTGGAGACTAATAAATGCATTAAAATGTTTAATTATTATATATGGTCTGATTTTCGTCCAGTTCCATTGCCCAATAATGAAACGTTCTAGGTTCTATCTTGGCCTGCTCCACTGTACTTCGCTATCAGTGTTTCTCCAATTGTTGTTGTTCTCTGGCGGTGGGCAAGACAACAACAGTCCAATGACCGAAAGTTTGCCATGCAAAAAATGAGAGAGAGGGAGTGGAAAAACAGAATTGTAAGCCGCAACGAAAAAAAAACGTAGTAGAAAATAAGCATGTAAGCTACTACTACTAAAACCTGTTAGTCGGAGCTGAGCACTAAAAATTCCGATCTTCCAGTGGCTCTCTCCGGTGGAGATTTTGCTGCTGCTCGGCTTTATCCGCAGGTCTCCTCTCCCTCTCTCTTGTGGAAACAGGTATAACTGTTTGGCGTGAGGGAGCACGAAACTCCAGTGGAGACTTCTCGCCAGCGAAACAAACGATCAAAATGAACACTCTGATAACGTACGAAGGTGAGCAACAAAATAAAAAATACCGTCACGGAAAACAACAACAATAGAAATGTCGAGTCGACGTCGACGCACCCTTTTCTTTTTCTTGCAGAGAACAAGAGAATGGAGAAGAAGCGCAAAACCACATCCCGCTGGAAGCGTCTCTTCCCCCGATGCCCGATGGAAAAAGGCAGCTTAAAGAGGAGCGGGTGGCGTTCGTTCCACTGAGTGTGTGTGTGAGTGCGGGAAAACAAAGCAGACGCCGTTGGAATGCCGTTGTTATTTTTGTTGTTGCTAAGCCGGACATGACAATTGTTGCTTTTGTAATTCAGAGGGGGTGGCGAAATTCATAAATATCAGATCTGGGGGCTTCGTTTTCTATACCTCGTTCTTTGTCGCCCGGTGTAATCCGATTTATCCAGCTTTGTTATCCAGGTGGCTAGCAGAGTCGTATTCACGTATTTTGCACTGCACTGTGGGCCGCTAATTAAATTAAGACGGCAATTAAATATTGGTTAACTTTGTCGTTGTGTTGGCATGTAGTTGCTCTCTAACTTGTTGTTGCACATTTCGCGTCGCGAAGAGAGCCAAGTGCGCAGGGGAATGCGAATATTATGTTGCGGAGAAATCCCGAAGTTGGCGAAATTAAGAATCACAAAGCGCCTTTTCACAGGCTGCGATCGCAAAGAACTCGGCACTAGCGAACTCCGCACTTGTTGCGATTTTGTTTTTATCGGAGTCTCAGCGATCGGAGACGCGCGCCCTCGACATGTTTCTTTTTCGGATTTCAGCTTGCTGTGGTGGTGGTTGGTGTGGACCCGCGAACAGTTTTTTTTTGTGTGGAGGAAAACTGTTAGTGTTGCCAGGTGAAAATGTTGCGTTCCCTAAAAAATATCAACAGTCGGTATTTCCCTAAAAATCCCTAAAAACACTCACAAATGGTCACTCTGCGATACGTATCGCGTAATAACGTAAGTGTCATTTACCAGATCAAGATTTTGCCTTTTCCCCTAAAGAATCCAGCGAAAATATTAGAGCCGTACTCTTTTCATTATCTTGTTATGGTCTGCCGAAATAAGGAAAATAAACATTTATAAATTCAAAACATCCCAGATGACCGCGTACCTGGGTTAGAGAGGAGCAGCAGATGCCGATACTAGAGATGGCCTGGGGATGGAGAACTGGTTCCGGAGTCGTGCTGGTTCATGGCGGAACTGGTAGAATAGTAGGCTACAGATAGGTTTAAATTTCGGAAAACTCTCTCTCGAAAATCCAATTGAACCGACCTACAAGAATAGACATAACATTCTTTTTAAATCCTCCAACAAAGATCGATATTTGTATACCCTTGCAGAGGGTATTATAATTTCAGTCAGAGGTTTGCAACGCAGTGAAGAAGACGTTTCCGACCACATAAAGTATATATATTCTTGATCAGCACCAATAGCCGAGTCTATCTAGCCATGTCCGTCTGTCAGTCTGTCTGTCTGTCCGTCTGTCTGTCTGTCCGTTTCTATGCGAACTAGTCTCTTAGTTTTTAAGCTATCGCGATGAAACTTTCCCGAAAGTCTTCTTTCTATTGCAGGTAGTACATATGTCGGAGCGAGCCGGATCGGACAACTTTATCTTAAGGCTCCCATAGGAATATTCAAACAAATATAAGAAAATTCATTGTAACTTTGGAGGAAGTAGGCGTTTTGATTCTTGGCAACTTAAAAACAAAATTTAAATAGAACCGCTGAATCTGGAATTCCTGGAACTGCACCGAGTGAGCATTAAACTATAGGTATTTACTTTATCTGCAAGGGTATATAAGCTTCGGCTGGCCGAAGGTAGCTTCCTTTCTTGTTTGAATAAAAATAAATATTTATATCGTCATATTATCTGTACTCACTGGTTCCCTTTTCTGCCGCAATGGCGCTCTCAAACGTTTATGTTCAATTGAACAGAAATATTAAGATACGTATTCTTACATTGTGGAGGATTTTGTCTTAACATTTCAATTAACATAAAAGTGCCCCGCCGCTAACGCCGATAGATGGCGCATGATATTAAAATATGCGGTTTCTGTCTCAACTTAACAGAAATGTCAAGATACAATGTTTTCTTACATTTTGGAGAATTTTGTCTCAACATTTAAATTCACATCAAAGCACCCTTGCTAACTTAACCGCCATTAAATGTGTTTGGAGAAAAACGTTTATCTCGATGTTCAAATGGGTGATCGGGATGTGAAAAATATATCACATTATCCCGATATTTTTTGAGTAAAAATAATTATTTTTATCAGGGAAAAAAACCAGAATCGATAAACGAAATAAAGCGATTCCTAATAGAGAAGCGGTACCGAGACCAAAATAAAAATTGCTGGTACCGGTACGGCTTTGGTACTCATTTACTAAATGAAAAAATACCCATATGTAAGTATCAGCTCCCACTTTCCGCTAATCGACTTCTTTACGTCCCTTTTTAGCAGATATACAGGATACAGTAACCTGTTAGTCTTATATATAAATAATATTTATATAATATAATATTATTTATTGTTATTTAAACTATATATTAATTTTGCAGTTTGTGGGACGTAATCAGGAAAAGAGCGAGAAACAAACATCGCTCATTGGTATCGATCCACCTAGAGGAGGTAGCACGCTTGGCAAGGTACATTTTAAAATTATAAAACTTTATATTTATTGTCCGTTTTATGTATGTTACTTAAATTTATTCGTACTTACTTAATAATGATAAGATTGCTGTTAGACTTAAATATGTTTAGTTATAAGTAATTTGTAACTATGTTATATCTAAAATAATAAATAGAAAATTAATAAAATAAAAAAAGTGAATATATGAAATTTTTAATTTTTCTGAAAAATTCCTTTTTGCATCAAGAGTGGAACATTCTTGAAATCGAGAACGCCTATTCTTGAAATCAAGAACGCCTATGCTTGAATCCAAGAATTTTTCTTCTCGAAACCAAGAATACGTTCTTCTTGGTAAGAGTGAAGTTATTAAACCCGAGAACGATTTACTCTTGGAACCAAGAACGCCTATTCTTGAATCCAAGAATTTTTCTTCTTGAATCCAAGAAGACTCATACTGAAATCAAGAATACTTATTTTCAAAAAAGTAGTCTCAAATCAAGAACACTCGTTCTTGATTTTAGTAAAACCGTTCTTGGCTCACTTTTGAGCACGGAAATACTGAAATCAAGAACGTTGAGAACGGTTTTTTTTCTCGGTGTAGTGAATCTGAAAATTCCCTCATAAAGCTAACGAGTCAAAAAGATCTCAATGACTTGTGCCGAGACTTAAAGTCAAAAGAAAAGTCAGAAATTCTTGCTTCCAGATTAAGGGGTTAAGGTGACTTGCGGTAAACATCATATCCCAAAAACGGTTCACCTCAAATCCCCAATTCAAAAAAATTTCGTTAGTATATTGTATTGCCTAGTCCCTGAACGAAAGATTTGTAAAAATTTTGATTTAAAAAAAAATGGCGACGGTTTTAACAAAAAATGTACTTTTTCAAGGTATACAATTTTGGATTTTATGCTCTAAAAAAAGAATTTTTCAAAAAAAATTGAAAATCCTTCGTTCAAGGACTAGTTATTGTTATAATAAATAAGTGGTCAAAATTTGGTGTCGATCGGATTAATAGTTTTTTAGTAATCGTGTCCACCGCAAAGGTAATTTCGAAAAAACGAGATTCTGAGATAATCGCGTTTAAAGTTTCAAGTTTGTAACGGCCGATGTGCAGGTAGTGCGCTATAAATAGCTACAACTTCGGTTCTAAAGCTCCGATCGTTTTGAATTTTTGTTAGAGTACTCTCTACAGTATATACTTAAAGAATATGCAATAAAAAAATCGATTTATTCATCTATCACAACTGTATATAACCCCTTAGAGGACATGGTTTTTTGAAAACGGAAACTCGAATTTCATTTTATAGAAACCAAAGCAAAAATTAAAAAAAAAAATTCTCAAAAACTAAAGATTTTTGTTTTTGCAATAACGTCACAGCGTTATTTGCAGCACTTGGAGAACATCACAATCCTGCTGACTGGCGTCTATTTATTGACGGAAGCAAGTATATCGTGAATGCTGTTTTACTGCATAAGGGAAACAAAAAACCACCCATGCCTATTGGTCATTCCTCTAACGTGAAGGAAACATATGAGACCATGAAACTGCTTCTGGAACTAATAGATTACAAATCATACACTCATAAAAAAAAATCGAAGAATTTCCTTAAAATCTAGAAAATTCTTTCTTGAATTTTTGCCAAAGGCGACCTCACCTTTGTTTCAAGAAATGGTTTTTTTGAAAGGCACCATTAAAACCAGAAAAAATATTTCTTGTTTTAAGAAATTAAATTTCTTAAAACAAGAAAGGGTTTTTTAGAAAGCCACCATAAAAACAAGAAAAATATTTCTTAAAACAAGAAAGGCGATTCTTGTTTCAAAGGTGGTTTGTTTCTTGTTTCAAGAAATTAAATTTCTTAAAACAAGAAAGGGTTTTTTAGAAAGGCACCTTTTGAACAAGAAAAATTCTTTCTTGTTTAAATTTCCTTTCAAGAAATTTTATTTCTTGATTTAAGAAATAATATTTCTTGAAGGGAAGTTTTATATTAACACTGAAACCCTAAAAATAAAATGTAACTTGGTTTTTTCTTTTGCATATTTTATTTATTTAAATTTAAAACATTTAACACTGAACATTTAAACAATTTTAAATAACACATTTTTGACTTAAGAAAACATTATTATAACCAAATATGTAGTTGCAGGCATAAAAAATTATTTTCTTCGGCTTTCCTCATCTGGAAAAAAAGAGTTATTGGGATATCAATGATTTGTTTTTAGATAAGAATAGATAGATGTTTTTAGATAATAGATAATAATGTAATGTTAATAATAGCCAAAATACAAACACGTTGGTCAGACGACCGAGAGAGGAGCAAGACAGGTAGAAAATGAAGAAGGAAGGGTTGAAAATCTAATTTCAGAAAGAGCCACATACATACATATATATTTACATACAGTCCTTTGCGCGAAGGGAGACCGAATGTAAGCAGGTCAGATCATGACAATTTTAAGAAGGAGTAGAGAGAAACGTCGCGACGCGTAGGTCAAGCGAGCGAGAGAGAGGAGCAGAATATGAAAGGGTTGAAAATCGGGTTTCAGATCGGGTGAGCCGCGTACATGCATAGATATTTACATGCATACATAAGTATGTCAAACAAATACAACATATTTTTCTTACCTTAGATGGTTTTAAAACAAAATTACAGCTTCGACAAACAAATTATTTGGCTGTTGCAACTGCAGGTATTTTCACTCTGAAAAATAAATAAAATGCGAGTAATAAGATAAAGTTATTATAGAACTGTACACCCACAAATTTATGTACAAATGTATGTATGTACGTAGCTCTTAGCTAAAAAACAATTCACCTAAATTGGTATACGCTTGTTAAAGAGATTTGAAATGTATCCTTTAATTACATACATACAATTGTACGCCCGCTATACAAAAAATTATATACATATTTACATACCTTTGAATATTCGGAAAAAGGCTTCACCTCTTATCCGCTTGAAAATCACGTCCATCACTCACGAATTTTTTTCACAACTGACGCTCGGGTGATCAGAGAAGTCGGTAGCCGGGTAGGCCCTTCGTCCCACTTCGTTTTTCTTGTCGTTAACATTCGGCAGCCGAAGGAAGTCAATGGCTACTTTCCTATATTCTAGGGTCATTTCATTCATATATTCAAAGGTGATTTTGTCCTAAAATACGTACAAAAATGTTTTGGCTGCGACGGCAAAACAGACATATGAGATTTTCATT